GACGCCGCCGGGACCACGTGCCCCTCCCGGCCCGAGACCCGCGGGTGGCGCTGCCGAGCCGTGTGTGGGCAGCCTGTCCCCGCCCCGGAGGCCCAGCCGGCGCGCGTCCAGCGCAGGGACACGGCGACCCACGCGTCGTGAGCTCCGCGCAGCAGGGAGGCTGGTGGGCAGAGAAGCCTGTGGGTGACCTCGGGCCGGTCCCCGAGCAGCAGCCAGCGCTCCGGGAGCACGGAAACTTGTAAAAGCTTCGTTTTGTGTCCCTGGAAGTCTCAGCACAGGGAACACAGGGAGCCCATTCCGCACCCCACCATGCCGGTGGCGGAAGCCAGCGTTCCCGTGCGCGCCCCACTGAACCCTATCACCCGCATCGCGGGCGGGGTTGGCTCACTGTGCGAGGCCGGCGGAGAGTGAGGAAAGAACCTCTCAGCTCCGAGGGTTAGAGGTGCCCGTGTCCAAGCCATCTGAAATATAATCGTTTCATGGGAAGCCGGTGATTTGCCTGGCAGATGGACAGGCTCCGCTAATTACAGGACAGCTGTGGTTTGGAAGCGAAAGACAGGCCCGCGAGTTCCCCCATCCAGAAGCGCTTTATCTTCCAGCGCCAGTTCCCACGCGCTTCCTCCTCCGCAGCCTCTCAGCTCTGCTCTCCCAGGGCGCTTTAAGCTTCAAGGGCCACAATCTTATCACCAGTCCCTGGAAGGCACCCCAAACAGAAGCGCTGCCGTTCAATCCACAGCCACCATGTCCCCTTTGGTACCGAAATAAAACCTTCTCTTCGCTTGCAGTTTTCGGGCCTTGCTAGGTGCATACTCAGCAACCCCCTTCTCCCTGCGGAGTTTGTCGGAGTTTTAACAAGAAGAAAAACCTACACCTAAAGGGAAGGAAAAAAAGCAGCCATCCTCTTTGAACGTAAGGGGAGGAGGATTCTCCGAGACACCGAAGAGGATTTCACAAGGTGTCCGGGTGTCCCTCCTGACATATAATCAGACCCAATTGTCTGGTCCGTCCAAACCTGAGAGCTCCATCCTTTTTCCCAGGGAATTTTCTTTAATCAAAAGTGCGTGCCTGTTGTGCTTCCTTCTTCCCTGGGGAGCTCTGGGTAGAAGCCACAGGCGGGTAAGGTCCTTGTTTTGTTAACCATCGCTGTCACAGTGGCCTTCAGTGACTGTGACTTCCACATGTGCCATACAAACCCATGCTAAGGCATTAAACTTTAATGACTTTTTCTTCCAAGGCCCTAAGTGCCCTTTTTGTCCCTGCAGATAAAAAGGTAAAGATTTAGCTTTAAAAGTAATCATTTTGAATCGGAAGCGTCTCCTAAAGGCCAGTGTGTCCATGGCTAGGTCCCTAGTGGTGAGGCTCTGGGCGTGGGGCACGATCTCTAGAGGGCAGGCCAAGCAAGGGGAAGTGCCAAAAGGTGTGGCCAAACCCACACCCTTCTCCATTCCTGGCCACTTGAAGGTGGCACTCTCCTGTCACCTGCTTCCATGGTGGCCCAAGTAACCCAGGACAACTCTGAGCAGAGTAAGTCTTTGCCCCTCACACTTTGTGTAGCTGAGTCACAGTGACAGGAAGCCACCACTGCCGCCCCTCTGCTGGTGTTGACTTTGTAGGGCCATTTCATCAACGAGCAGCACTACAACCAGCTCAGTTCCTGGAGGTGAGAATGCTACCCATTCCTCTACCCATGTGAGAACTGAGGCTGGAGTCATATCCTGTCCCAATTTAAAATCTCTTGGTGATTCCTCTGGGCCATTTGGAAAGACCAAAATCCCACAGTGGCTCAGCCTCGGCCCTTCCCTCTCTGGACCCAAGCTTCTATTCCACCCCCTGTGAACTCTGCCTATTCCAGACGCCTGCCTGCCTCAGGGCCTTTGCGCATCCTATCTTTGTGCTACGACATGGCCCTCCTCCTGGGGGGAGGGCTCTACGCACAGGCAGCCTAGTCTAGGAAGGGCGACCCGGCACCTGCCTTCCTAAACAGCAGTCCCTGTGGACAGGTCTCGGCAAACGTCTTCTCAGCACCTGACCCTCCTACCTTTCTCCCATTACAAGGCTCTGTGGAAGTGACAAGGCTGTTGAACTGTTTGACTACACTTTTACACTTAATGCCCATCATGGCGCCTGGAACACAAGTCCCATGAAGTATTCGCTCGCTGGCTGAGTGAAGGTGGGATTTGGCCTCAGCTCGGCGCCCTCCTGCCTTCAGACGCGGGCTGCGGGCCTTTCTCACTCATTGGGCTCAGGGATGGGGCCAACAGGAACCTTTGCTAGCATCACATGAAATGTTTCTGTCCACTGATCCCTGGTTCCTATTTTGGGATTTCACAGCTTTATTTTTCCCCAGCTAAGCAAGAGTTGTGAGAATCCAAGTGCATTACAAAACTTCTAAATATTTTCAGAAATAATAATTACCTAGTTTATGACTGGACTCAGACCAGGCCCTGAAGGGCTGGCTGGAGCCCGTCAAGCCCCTGGAGCAACGGTGACCTCCCAGAACACGGGTGCTTCTAGAGGAATGAGAGGCGTCCCTCCCGAGTCACAGGGCCGCACACAGGGTGCTGCATATCTCTGGCACCCTTAACATTCACAGAACATTTTGGAATTCTTTCTGGGTGCGAGGAAGGCAAGGCTGAGCTGGTGCAAGAGGAGGCCCTACGCAGAGCCTACCTCTATGGTCTCCTAACACAAGCCTAGTTTTAAATTCTCCCATTGCCCTGGAAACCTTCAGGGACGCCAAGGCGACCTTCGTGTATCCTGTAGCGCTGATCTGGGAGCGCAGGGAGAGCTGTAGCTGCGGAACCCCAGAAGGCTGTGCCCCAGCAAACCGGGTGCAACAGTTCTCTGGGATGCAGAGGTGAAGAGCCTGTGAGCCGCAGCGCGGCCCTGGGCCTCAGCGTGGCGCCAGCGCTCTCTCTAGGAGGCCGGCTACTGCCCAGCCCCTAGCCTGAGGCAGCACAGGCTGGGTCTCCGCCAGGGACCCGGGAATGGCTGTGCCCTTAGACACCGCAGCTTCGGGAACTGTTACCCGAAAGGCAGAGAGAAGCGGCGCCTCCGGTTCAGACGTGATGTTTGCGTGAACACAGTGAGTGAAGGCAGGGACGCTGGTCGGAACACAGCTTTCCTCTGTTTCCTATGCGTCTCATACACACAGCCTATAATTTTAGGAAATGTTTTTAGTGTGTCTGTGTTTGGACAGTGACCTGTCACATGAGGTCAGGATTGGAATTTTCCACTGTGTCTTGTCCACACTTACAAAGTTGCTGATTTCATAGAGTTTCCTACTTTGGATTGGAGACTTGTAGTTACCTGTATGTCACACCATGCTTTGCATATTTGCATAATATTCATGTCTTTAATTGAAATCTATATTATACACCCACTAACCCTTAGATGCATACTGATATTTCAGTTCAAAATTCTGGCCTAACAACAGTTTGTACCCATTACCATTGCTGACTTTGGTTTTGTACAATTCTCGGTGATAGTGTTCCTTCTCCACGTCAGCTTGATTTTGTTTCAGGAGACTTAATTCTTAGTGCAAGAGGGCCCGTTCTGTAGCGAGCAGCCCCGTGCAGGCCCACACGGCAGTGTGCATGTCTCACTGGCGTGCCTCTTTAAATGCTTCTCTTGTCTTTGCGGCCACACATGTCTGTCTCATGCCTACAGAGGTCTTCCTTCGTGGAGAGGTGCTTTGTACTCCCCGTGTTGTGTAGGAAGGTGGCACTCTCTATTGAAGGCTCCTGCCACCCACCGTGTATTTGAGTTACCAGCTTCCGTTCTCAGACATCCCACCAACCCGTTCTTCAATACTTCCGTTTCCCCTTCTTAAAGGGGGGAGGTTGGCGTGAGAGACCTCATGTTTGTTTAGAAAGTGATTTATAAGTCCAGAGTTTGAATGCATTTCTGCTGTGTAAATGGGACCCCCGGCTGTGCTGCCACACCCGACTCCAGGCACTGAGGTGGCCCATTGTAGGAGCGACTTCAGACCTTCAGACTGTCACCTAGCATCCAACATGACAGACACGTGCAGGGCTCTGTGGTTGCTGTGCTTGCAGCCTCCTGACCAGCTCCCCCACAGCTGCAGCTCCCAAACAGCTTCTAAGCTTCTTCCTCTGCAGTTCCCCCTCTCGGGCTGCTGGCAGAAACCCTCAGGTGGGCCTCCCATACCTGGCGCCATGCTGGTTCAGTTCAGCTAGTGTTACAAGCTGACTACCAGTTCTCAGTCCGCTACACTCCACATTCTCTATTTCTTCTTCCTTTTTTTTCCACATTTTTTCTATTATTTGTTTGGTACAGCTACACAGCTTGGACTTGTAGCCATCCTCCTCTCTCAGCCACTCCGGCCCTGGGATTATAGGCGTGCGCCACCATGCCCAGTTTATGTGGCCAGCTCAGTTTGGGGCTGACAGGGCATGCGGTACCAGGGATCGATCCCTGGTCCTTGCACTTGCCAGGCAGGTGCTTACACAGCCGAGCTATGCATTCTCTCATTCTAGGTCTGGGTTTGGCCAGCATCTTAGTGCCTTTTTGGTTGCTGTAACTAAACAGCAGCATGGGGAGCATAAGAAGCCCACAGCATTAGGCAGCTTGCTGCTCTGGAGGCAGCGAGTAAGGAGTGGGCTCTGGGCCTGGCAAGGGCTGGCACACAGCATGCAGATGGTAGCTGGGACACAGGCCTGGGCTTGGGCTAGAAAGCGCTTGCTTTCGGGCTCCCTTTACTCCTGGGGAGGGAGCAGCTTACCCACCATGAGGATCAGCCCACTGTCTCCCCCACTCCACAGCCACA